AAAAAAATATTCACCACGACGGACACGACGAGCACGACGGATCAATCGGAAACTCTGTTATCTAATTTCTGTTCGGGACTAGCTGTGCCCCGCCAAGACGCTCGTCGTGTCCTTCGTGCCCGTCGTGGTTCATTTATAACGGCTGTAACGTCATTCGCCGTCAAGCGTAGTTATTCGCGGGCGGCAAAGTTTTGACCCGCGGGGGTGGTTGCGGTAGATTCTTGGCATCTCAACCGCGGCCTCCGGGGCGTCGCCGATGGGCGTCACCTACTACAAGCGTTACCGAATGGAGGCCGACCTCCGCCGTGATTGGCGGCGGCCGACGCTGCCGCACGGCTATCGCTACGCCCCCTGGTCGGCCGACCAGCTGCTGGAGCACGCCGAGGCGAAGTTCCACGCCTTCCAAGGCGAGATCGACGCGGGCGTCTTCCCATGCCTATCGGACGAGGACGGCTGCTTACGGCTCATGGAAGAAATCGCCAGCAAGCCCGGCTTCCTGCCTGAGGCGACGTGGCTGGTTGAGTTCCACGACGCGCCCGGCCCGCCCGAGCCCGTCGGCACGATCCAGGGCATCCGGATCACGCCGCGCTACGGCAGTATCCAGAACGTCGGCGTCACCCCCTGGGCGCGGAGCCGCGGCATCGGTCGGGCGCTGGTGATCGCGGCCCTCGAGGGCTTCCGCGACGTGGGTCTGCAGCGGGCGACGCTCGACGTCACCGCCACCAACGCCCCCGCCGTGCAGATGTACCTGTCGCTTGGGTTCCAGCGCGTCAGCACCAGTTACCGCGCGACTTCGTCGTCGCTAGAGTTTGCGTAAACGCAATCCGTCAAGCGCGAGCTCTCAGGCAGCGACGCTTGTGGCTCAACGACTGCTGTGCACTGGCATCGGCTTTGCGTTGCTAAGCACGTTTCGGCTTTGATTGCTGATAGCAATCCCCGGCGTGATGCGAACGAGCGTTCCTTTCCGAAAGACAAGTCGCCCATGTACGAATCCGAGTTCCCCCTCTGGGAGGTCGCCGCCCGCTTAGCCGCGGCACTGGTGGGTGGCGCGCTGTTGGGCATCGAGCGCGAGGCGAAGCACAAGCCCGCCGGCCTACGCACCAACATGCTGGTCAGCGTCGGGGCGGCCGCAGTGATGTTGTTGACGCTCGACTTGTGCCGGGAGGTCGCCGAGTTTGCGATGGATTCCGATGTCTCGAAGACACACGTCCCCAACCTCGATCCGCTCCGCACCGTGGCGGGGGTTATCGGCGGCATCGGCTTTCTAGGCGCGGGCTCGATATTCAAGTCGCAAGGTGACGTCGAGGGCATCACCACCGCCGCGGCGATCTGGACATCCGGGGCAATCGGGCTCGCTTGCGGAGCGGGGCGGTTTGAGATCGCGGCGGCGACCGTTGTGCTGGCTCTCGTGATCCTCGCCGTCGTCGATGGCGTCACCCATGCGCTGACGCCGAAGAGCTAGTCCGGTCTCTGGCGCCCGCTTTGCGTTCTCCGCGTCACCCCTCACCAATACCCGGCGCAAATGAAAACGACGCCCTGCTGCTGCGGCGCGACGCTGTACTTTGACAACACAAGTTGCTCGTCCTGCGACCGGCAGGTTGGTTGGTGCGACGCCTGTGGCCAACTGGCCGCGGTGGACCGAGACTCGAGCAACTGCCTCGCCTGTGGCGTTGGCGTGACGCCCTGCGCGAATCGCTCGGCTTACTCCGTGTGCAATGGGATGATCGCGACGGGCGCCGGCCCGCTCTGTCGCCGCTGCGTGACGACGACGCTGGTTCCCGACTTAAGCGACCCGGCGAACGTTGAACGCTGGGGCGTCCTCGAAGCGGGCAAACGCCGCCTGCTCTACGGTCTCGACGCCATCGGTCTCGGCGAGGCCTGGCGCGAGGGCGAGCCGCCGTTGCGGTTCAAGTTCGCCGCCGACCAGGGCGACGAGAAGACCCTCACCGGTCACGCCGACGGCGTCATCACGATCAACCTCAAAGAAGCGGACCCGGTCCACCGCGAGATCGCCCGCCAGGAGTTTGGCGAGCCGCAGCGGACCGTCATCGGCCACCTGCGGCACGAGTTCGGCCACTACCTGCAGAAGCGGCTCTTCGGCGATGAGCCCGGCCCCGAAGTCACCGCCCTCTTCGGCGACCCTGCGCAGCTCGACTACAGCGAAGCGCTGGAGCGTTACTACGAGAACGGCCCGCCTAAGGATTGGCGAGACCGGCACATCAGCGCCTACGCGTCGGCCCACCCGTGGGAAGACTTTGCCGAGACCGCGTCGTTCTATCTCGACATGCAGGCGGTGCTCGACACGCTGGCGGCCCATGGCGTGATTGTCACCGAAGTTCCCGCGGACTTCGACGCGGCGATCGCCTCCTATCAAGAGGCCGCATTAAGGCTCAACGAAGTCAACCGCGCGATGGGACTAACCGACCTCGTGCCCTACATCGTCCCGCCGCCGGTGGTTGAGAAGTTGCGGCTGATCGACAACGGCGTCCGCGCCGCGGCCGGGAGATAGGGCGTTCAATTACACCGCGTCGATCATGTCGATCCGGCGCTGATGCCGACCGCCGTCGAACGGCGTCGTCAGCCAGGCGTCGACGATCTTCAGGGCCAGCTCCTCGCTGACTTGTCGCTCGCCGATCGACAGGCAGTTGGCGTTGTTGTGGCGCCGGCCCAGCTCGGCCGTCTCGACGCTCCAGCAGAGCGCGCAACGCACGCCGCGGACGCGGTTGGCGACGATCGCTTCGCCGTTGCCCGATCCGCCGAGCACGATCGCCCGGTCGGCTTCACCCCGGGCGACCGCCTCGGCCGCGGGGCGGATGAACTCGGGGTAGTCGCACGACTCAGTCGAGTCGCAGCCGTGGTCGGTGACCTCGTGCCCGAGCTCGGCCAGATGGCTCTTAATAAGTTCTTTGTAGCGGTAACCGGCGTGGTCCGAGGCGATGGCGATCTTCATGGGCAGGGCGTTTGGCGCTGAGCGGGACGATCACGGGTTCGCTGACGGGAGTCAGCGGACATCGTAGTGCGAGCATCGTAGCAGGTTCGACGACGCCTAGCTTTCCCAGTACACGGCGCCATCCGAGTCAAACGCCAGCGGTCGCGGGTCGATCTCTAGCCGGGGTCGCTCGCCCCGCGCCGCGGCGATCATCGCCGCCACCAGCCCGCCCCGTACGACGCGCCGCAGGCCGACGTACGAGGTTGTCAGCCGCGGATTGACCTCGATCACCACGTCGAGCGTGCCGGTGGGGTCGTCCCCTAGCACTAGGTCGACGCCGGCCCAACCAACCAACGGCGGCAGCGCCGCAATGGCCCGCAGCGCGAGCGATGTCGCACGTTCGGCGAGCCCTCCGGCCAAGGGCGTTGACCCGCCGAGGTAGGAGAAGCGACCATCGACCGATAGCCGTTGCCGACAGGGCGGCAGGGCGATCGCTTCGCCGCCGGCGACGCCGATCACCGCGACGCTCACCGCCACGCCCGGCACATAGCGCTCGAGCCTCCGCGGCCAAGCGTAGGCCGGCGGGTTGTCGTAAGCGTGCGCGACGACGTGCGTGTTCTGCGAACCGGCGCCGTCGAGCGGCTTGAGCACGGCGGGGTACGCGAACGCCTGCGGCAAGGCGGTGTCGGGATCGATCCGTACGGCCTGCGGCGTCGGCACGCCCGCCGCACTTAGCGAGTTAGCGGTTCGCTCTTTATTGCCGGCGATAGCGATGAACGACGAACGAGGCGACACAAGCTTGGCGCCGACCGACTCTAGCCGCCGCACCGTCTGCAAGAGGACGCCATCGGTTTCCGGCGCGATAACCAAGACGCCGTCCGCCTGCGAGGCGAGTTCTTCGAGCCCCGCGTCGTGCTCGCTGCGGCTGGCGACTTCGATAACCTCAGCGCCCGCCGCCGCCAAGTGTGGCAAGCGCAGGTCCCGCAGCAACGAGCGATGGCGAATGGCTTCAACGCCAGCCGCGTCCGCCGCCACGGCTTGGACCATCGCCAGGCCTTCACGCAGCAGCGACTCCGGCAATGACCCCTCACTACCAACCAGCCCGCCGCCGGTGATCCATTCGTAGATCAGGAGCCGCATGAATTAGCCGCGGATGCGATTCGTGGGTACAGACTCAACCCATAAGTCGTACGTTAAAAATTAAATGGAGTAAGCAACACCGAGGAGTGTACCGTTACGAAGGACATCCGCGTCTATCTGCGTCCATCTGCGGCTAACTGAACTTGAACCACATCAGGCTCCTCCGCGCTCAAGAGGTCCTCGACGCGGCGGCCGGTGCGCGTGGCTTCGTAGAGGACGCCGGCGCGGAAGCTACTGCGGACCATCGGGCCGGAGGCGACGCCGGCGAAGCCCATCTCGTACGCTTGGTCGCGGTACCGATCGAACTGCTCCGGCGTCACATAACGATCAACAGGCAAGTAACGCTCTCCGGGCCGGCCCGGCGTCAGATACTGGCCAAGGGTGACGATATCGACACCCGCCTCTTCACGCAGCCGGCGCATCGCATCGCGGACTTCGTCGTCGGTCTCGCCGAGGCCAACCATCAAGCTGCTCTTCGTTGCGAGGTCAGGCCGTAAGCGTTTGGCTTCACGGAGGATCGTCAGCGACTGGTCGAACGACGCCCGCGGGTCGCGCACATGTTTGTCGAGGCGGGGGGCGCATTCGACGTTGTGGGCGAAGACGCTGAGGGGGAGGGACGAGGGGCTAGGGACGAGGGACGAGGGACCGGAGCCGCCTAGTAGCAGTTGCAACGAGTCCAGGTTACCGGCTAGATCGCTGCCTAATAGTTCGATGCCGATACTGGGGTC